CAGCTCAGGTCATGATCCCAGGGTCCTGCTCAGCAGGAAGCCTGCTTCTCCCTCTCCCACTCCCCCTGCTTGTATTCCCTCTCTCGCCATCTCTCTCTCTCTCTCTCTGTGTCAAATAAATAAATAAAATCTTAAAAGAAAACATTTTTTTTTTTCAAGACAGGCTGGCTGACTTAGTCTTACCATTTTATAAGCAAGCAAACAAAATCCTAGAAAAGCAAGTTATCTGCCTGAAGTCACAAAGACAGTTAACAGCCAGTGTATTTGCAGAAGACAACTTCACATGTGGAAGCTGCTATGCTTTGCTGCATAAATCCAATAAGGCCAAATTACAGAATTCCCGTAGCTCCATGAATGGCTGAGCAGAAAATCAAAAGGAGTATTTCCCTGGGTATAAGATTGAGATGACACACCCACAGAGGATCAGCTTCGTACCTGTAAGCGAAGGATTCTAAGCTGCTGGTATAACCTGGGAGAGATCACAACAGCCATTTCCCTCTACTTCCAGAACTTCAGCCCAGCAGGCAGTCGAGGGCATTAATAAAATTAAGTATGCATTCATAGAGAAGCTCCCAGAAGCCAAACCAGGCCCTCTGGCTCACTGCATTTGGGGCACTCCCAGTAGCTCCAGCCTCTCTGGGAAGATACATCAGAGCCTAGAGAGACCAACTGAACAAAAAAAAAATCACCACTAGGAATGTGTTGTAGGACACCACACAGGAAGGCCTAGAACCTGTCACCTGCTGCAGAGAGAGGCTCAGGAAAGGCTGTGTTGGATATCCAGAGACAGCCAGAAAGAGCACTAGAGTGGTGTGAAGGAACTATAGCCCCTGGAAGAGTCAGGGGACTTGGTTGAGACACAGACTCTACCACTAATTTGTTTTATGATGATGTCAAGTCACTTCCCCTCCTGTGCCACTGGGTTCTGAGGCTTGGGGAAAGTGGCCTGATAATCTGGACTCACCGGCCAGCGATGAGGGTCCTTCAGCCACGCACGTCACAGGTGAGGTGGGTGGAGGGAGGAGCAGAAAGCCCCTTCCTGCCACTCCTGGCCTAGAGGGCATGTGTGCCTGCCTCCTTTTATAATTCCAGGACGGCTACAAAACCATACATGTAAAAATCATTAAGTTAGTAAATTTCCTGGTATGTGTTTCTTACTGTAACAAAAAAATTGGGGGGTACCTGGCTGGCTCAATGGGTTAAAGCCTCTGACTTCGGCTCAGGTCATGATCCCAGGGTCCTGAGATCGAGACCCACAACAGGTTTTCTGCTCAGCAGGGAGCCTGCTTCCCCCCCTCACCCCACCCCCGCCTGCCTCTCTGCCTACTTGTGATCTCCATCAAATAAATAAATAAAATCTTTTAAAAAAAATTTATATGACTACTGACTAACAAACATCATTTTAATCACCAAACCCGAAGCCCTGAAATTGAAACTGAAAAAGTAGTGAGTACCTTTTAGAAAAGTAAACATATGGGATGTATTATCCAACGAAATGTCACAGGCAGAAAATTAAAATCTAGTAGGATTGCTGCCATGATAGTACCTACTCAAATATGGAATTAAAGGAAACTAAGTCAGGGCGCCTGGGTGGCTCAGTTGGTTGAGGGGCTGCCTTTGCCTCAGATCATGATTCCGGACTTCCAGGATGGAGTCCCGCATTGGGCTCCCAGCTCCTTGGGGAGTCTGCTTCTCTCTCTGACCTTCTCCTCTCTCATGCTCTCTCTCATTCTCTCTCAAATAAATAAAATCTTAAAAAAAAAAGTCAGGGGCGCCTGGGTGGCTCAGTGAGTTAAAGGTCATGGTCTCAGGGTCCTGGGATTGAGCCCCGCATCGGGCTCTCTGCTCTGCGGGGAGCTTGCTTCCCTTCCTCTCTCTCTGCCTGCCTCTCTGCCTCCTTGTGATTTCTGTCAAATAAATAAATAAATATTTTTTAAAAATTAATAAAAATAAAAATAAAATAAAAATAAAAAATAAAGGAAACTGAGTCAATCCCAAAATCTCTACACGGTTGCAAAATACTTGTGTCAAAACACAAAACCCCAAACAAAACCCCACAACTTTACAGATAACACAGGTCTCTAGGACTTCCCTGCTCTGTGCTGAGAAAGTATGCATACTGTCCAAGCCTTACAAAAACCCCCTTAAGGCAAGTGCTATTAACACTGTGACAGAGGGGAGTTATGAGTGAGCCTCAGGGAATTTAACTCTGTGGCTCAACATCACCCATCTTAAAAAAAAAAAAAAAAAAGACAGAAGCAGGACTGAAAAACCAGATGTTTTGATTCGAAAGCTCCTGTTCTGAACAACCATGCACCAAGTCGGCCATTTGGGTCAGTAACAAAGCTACTGCTTCTTGCTCAGGACCTCTCTACATCCCCTGCCCCTGTTAACTTCTGCCGGTGCTGGCCAGCAGCGGCCTGATGTAAAATTACTTTCCCCCATACTGCTGCCTCCCACCTCAGTCTTGGGCTCCTGAGGGCAGGGATGGCCACAGGCCTGGGTCTTAATCAGTCTTTTTTTTTTTTTTTAATATTTTTTTAAAATCTTTTTTTTTTTTTAAATTTTATTTATTTATTTGACAGACAGAGATCACAAGTAGGCAGAGAGACAGGCAGAGAGAGAGGCAGAGAAGCAGGCTCCCGGCCAAGCAGAGAGCCCGATGCGGGGCTCGATCCCAGGACCCTGGGATCATGACCTGAGCTGAAGGCAGAGGCTTTAACCCACTGAGCCACCCAGGCGCCCCTAAATAAAGTTGTTTTTTTTTTTTTTTAAGATTTTATTTATTTATTTGACAGACAGAGATCACAAGTAGGCAGAGAGGCAGGCAGAGAGAGAGAGAGAGGAGGAAGCAGGCTCCCTGCAGAGCAGAGAGCCCAATGTGGGGCTCGATCCCAGGACCCTGGGATCATGACCTGAGCCGAAGGCAGAGGCTTAACCCACTGAGCCACCCAGGTGCCCCTAAAATCTTTTTTATTTATTTATTTGACAGACAGAGACCACAAGTAGGCAGAGAGGCAGGCAGAGAGAGAGGAAGGGAAGCAGGCTCCCCGCAGAGCAGACAGCCTGATGCAGGGCTCAATCCCAGGACCCTGAGACCGTGACATTTGACTCACTGAGCCACCCAGGCGCCCATGACTTTTTTTTTTTAAGATTTTATTTATTTATTAGATTGAGAGAGAAAGAGTGAGTGAGCACAAGCAAGAGGAAGACCAGGCAGAGGAAAAACCAGACTTCCTACTGAGCAGGAAGCCGGATGTGGGACTCAATCCCAGGACCCTGGGATCATGACCTGAGCCAAAGGCAGATGCTCAACCAACTGAACCACCCAGGCACCCCCATCTGTGTCTTTTAAAACACCTATAAATGGGGGAACAGCAGCTACTCCACATGGCTGTAGAGAGGATTCCATAAGCCAACACCTAGAGAGCACTTTCGATGGAGGTAGGCTGCTGCGTCCAGGTGTCTCACACCGCCTTGGGCTTCAAAGACCTGAGCGGTTCAGGGCCCCAGCTCCTTTGCCGTGGCCAATCTGTGTTCTCTCTGGTAAAACACTGAGCCTTTCCTGGTCTCTGTTTCCTCACCTCAAGGAACCAAACTGGGGAGAATTCCCACCCACCCTGTCTACCTCACAAGGGCGCTGTGTTGATGAGCTCAGAGGAGAAAATACTCTAGAAACTGCAGAGGGTTGGAACAGATGTCTTGCCCTTGGCACTACTGACACTGTGACATTGTGGGCCGGATAACTCTGCCACAGGGGCTGTCCCGTGCCATCGATATTTAGCAACATGCCTGACCTCTCCCCACCCCACCTGCCCACAGCCTGAACAATCAAAAATGACTTAACACTGCTCATGCCCCCAGTAAGCAAAACCACCTTCGGTTGAGAATCACCAGATTCTGGTAAATTCGAATACCAGTACAAGCAGCAATAAGAACCACGTGAGTTATAAGCCCCCAAACTGCAAATTAACGGCTACTGTTTACTGAGGGCTCTCGATGTGTCAGGTGGAGTGATGAGCTTCTCCCAAAGGCTCATGCCCCAGGCTCAGGCTGGACTACAGACAGCACTGCCTTGAGACCCTGTCCTCATCAAAAGGAGTATTTTCTGAGTCGTAGCACACTCATTCCTAAGACTCATTCCTGCCTAACACACTGGATGCCCTCCCTAACTCCCCACCCTGGATGATTTCTAGACAAACGGATATGAAGTGCTCTAAACTAGTTTCTCCCAACACTCCCCAACCCAACCTGGCTAACACCACTAATTATAGGAGGAAGGCTTCATTCCTAGCCAATTAGCCTCATCTGATTTTTCAGTTTATTTATTTATTTTTTTAATTAATTTATTTATTTGACAGATCACAAGTAGGCAGAGAGGCAGGCAGAGAGAGAGAGAGAGAGAGAGAGAGAGAGAGGAGGAGGAGGAGGAAGCAGGCTCACCGCCTGAGCAGAGAGCCCAATATGGGGCTCGATCGCAGGACTCCGGGATCATGACCTGAGCTGAAGGCAGAGGCCTTAACCCACTGAGCCACACAGGCGCCCCTGATTTTTCAGTTTATTAAGGAAGTTTTATGTAGTTTTACATATTTCCCTCTGAACCGATATACACAGTGCCTGCGGAGGAACTGTGTTCGCTACCACACACAGCCACCATCTGTCCTGACTTGGGGCAGGGGGTGTTCCTGGAGTCCGCAGAGACCCAGCCCTGAAGAAAGGAAGGGTGAAGACTATCCAGATGCCACCAAAGGTGCTTTGCAAATTTGACAAGTAAAAGCAACATCTCTACCCCAGTCTCCTGAGAACAGGTGAGGCTTACGCAGAGCTCAACAAGGGGCCGCATCTCCAGCCCAGCCATCAGGATGTTCTCAAGTGGTCACGGAGAGCCGGTTCGTGAAGAACTAGACTGGGGCAAACATCAAGAGAGCCCTGGACTCTGCAGCCGCAATTCCGGAAAGCAAAGCACAAAGCACCCACTGGGACGCTCTGCTCGGGCTCACCTTGAAGGAGAAAGTAATCCGAAGTTGTGCGCTTCAGAGCTGCCTTCGCCTTATCGCTGCTCCAGTCCACTTCCAGCGCGTCCTTGACGGAGCAGAAGACCACCTTCTGTTGAGAAAAAGGCAAAATTGCTTAGAGAAAAAAATGTTGGCTTTAAATCACAAGGCAGTAGCTCCTCACCATCTAGGAGCAATGTCATTATTTAAGGCTTACTGTTCATTAATAGCAGCTGAGGACCACGCAAATCCAATAAATGTTAACTGAGCACTTACTGTGTGCGCCTCTGGGCGCTGGGGACATAGCGACGAGTGACATACACTCCCTGCACCGGAAGGAGTCAGAGCAAAGCTAAAGACCCAGTTCCACTCTGGCTTTAACTCTGGCTGTGCTCACACCGCAGAAATTTTTGCACAAATGAACAAGACTGTGTGTCTACAGACAGTCAATAAAACATTCTATGTCACAGCCCAAAAAAAACATTAAATGTGTCTCATCAGAAGAATGGTTTGAGAATAACAATAGCAATAAATAACAGCAAGAAACATAAACAAGGGTTATGAGACAAAATCTCCAGGCTGCGGGGCTGGAGAAGGCATTTGTAAAAGGCCTGTAGTGAAAGGAAGCATGGCTGTAACCTATTAAAGCTAAATGAAATTATCTCAAAAAATGCCATCCCTTATCTCTATTTTAAAATATAATTAAATATGAGTAAGAAAGTGACTTTCCTTTTCCTCTCCTGAATTGTTCAGTCCAGAAACCATCCACTGGCACTTAGGAAGGGCAGGGAAGAGTGTGTAGAGGTGCTGGGTGACCTGCTGCGGGGGAAAGAGCAGAGCTGGGTAGGAAGGGTGGCATCCTGTGGGGCCGGGGGGCGGTGGGCAAGGGGGGGCAGGTAGTGGTAGACTGGGAGACTCACTCCCACCAAGGACTTCTGCAACAAGTGAAGATACAGAGAACCTAGGTTTCTCACTATCAGAGAAGAGAATTAGAATTGCGGAAAGGGAAAAAACCAGAATAAAGCCTGTGGGTGGGGTTATTAGTATGAACTCATTTTCAATATATACAGACATGGAAGTAAATGCAGACACAAGCCTGTGTGTACGTGCGTACAAATACTGAGGAGCCACGTCCACGGACAAAGCATCAAAGCAATGACGCCCTGAGAACAGTCAGCACACCTAACCCCCAGATCTTGGATTCTAACCCCCCACCGAGAAATATTTCTCTTTGGAGAAACGGCTGATTTCACGGCTAAGGCAGGAAGAGTATGACAGGAGCCCAAAACATCTTACTGAGCCTGAAACAAAGTGTGCACAGAATGATGGGGGTGTGTCCCGAGTAAATAGGAGCCAAACAACATAAAGGAGCTCCCACTGGTCAAACTGGAACACTTTAGGAAAAAAAAAAAAAAACAGTAAGATTATAACACTTCAGGGCGCCTGGGTGGCTCAGTGGGTTAAGGCCTCTGCCTTTGGCTCAGGTCATGATCCCAGGATCCTGGGATCGAGCCCCACATCGGGTTCTCTGCTCAGCAGGGAGCCTGCTTCCCTTCCTCTCTCTCTGCCTGCCTCTCTACCTACTTGTGATCTCTGTCAAATAAATAAATAAAATCTTAAAAAAAAAAAAAAAAGATTATAACACTTCCAAATGAACTAGAATCCTTTAGTCGTTGATCTAAAATCGGCTAATTGATGGGGCACCTGGGTGGCACAGTGGGTTGAGCCTCTGCCTTCGGCTCAGGTCACGATCTCGGGGTCCTGGGATCGAGTCCCACATCGGGCTCTCTGCTCTGCAGGGAGCCTGCTTCCTCCTCTCTCTCTCTCTCTGCTTGCCTCTCTGCCAACTTGTGATCTCTCTCTGTCAAATAAATAAAATCTTGAAAAAAAAATCGGCTAATTGATAAAATCTGATGAATAATGAGGTTATTTACATATTTTCAAAATACCTCTCCAAAAATTATTGGAGGGGAAATTACAGGGAAAAGAGGAATTGTTTTCTTTTTTTTCTTTTTTTTTTTTTTAAGATTTCATTTATTTATTTGACAGACAGATCACAAGTAGGCAGAGAGGCAAGCAGAGAGAGAGGAGGAAGCAGGCTCCCTGCTGAGCAGAGAGCCTGACTCGGGGCTCGATCCCAGGACCCTGGGATCATGACCTGAGCTGAAGGCAGAGGCTTTAACCCACTGAGCCACCCAGGCACCCCAGAGGAATTGTTTTCAAAGGAGAATTCTGGCAGGCATAATTCTACTCAAATGACCAAAATTACCAATGCAGCGTATGGAAACCAGAACCAGACCGCAGGATGGGATGAGGAGCAACCCTGCTGTGGTATTTTTGCCAAAGGTGTGAAGCTGAAATCGAACCGTGACGGAACATCAGACAAACCCAGACTAAAGAACAATTTACAAAATAAGTGGCTTGTAATCTTCAAAAGCATCATGAAAATCTAGATGCACACATGATCCAGAACTGAATCCTTCTGCCATTTAGGCCATGATTGGACAACCGATAAAATCGGAATGGGGTCTCAGGGTTAGATGGTAGTGATGTATCCATTTGAATTTTGATTCTGAAATTTGGTTTGTGCCTACAGAAAATGCCTTGTTTGAGAAAATACAGACTGAAATATTTGGGAGTGATGCAAGGAGCATGGCTTTGACCCCTTATTCTCAGATGGTTCAGGAAAAAAAAAAAAAGGTTCTCAGCACTAGCTACTTGAACGAAGTTTAAGATGGTTACGTGTGGGACGCCTGGGTGGCTCAGTCGGTTAAGCGTCTGCCTTCGGCTCAAGTCATGACAATCCCAGTGTCTTGGGTTTGAGCCCAGTCGGGTTCCCTGTTCAGCAGGGATCTGCTTGGGATTCTCGCTCTCCTTTTCCCTCTGCCCCTTCCCCCACATATGCACTCCTCACACTCTCTCTAATAAATAAATAAAATCTTAAATAAACAAACAAAAAAGATGGGGGCACCTGGGTGGCTCAGTCAGTTAAGTGTCTGCCTTTAGCTCAGGTCATGATCAGGTTCCCTGCTCCTCCCTCCCTCTCTGCTCCCCACCCCACTCATGCTTGTACTGTCTCTCTCTGAAAAAATCTTTTTTTTCCTCTGAAAAAATCTTAAAAAAAAAAAAAAAAAAGAGAGATGGTATGTGAGTATGTATAAATAATTTCAAACTTCCTGAGGTATGGGTCTCTTTTTCTCCCTCCTTCTTTCACCACATATACATACCACACACCCACCCCACTCCCCCAACAAATGCCCCAGATATTTAAGAAAGAAAAGAGACGACAGTATAATTAGGATGCTAAGTGAACCAAGACCTATCCGCTCCCAGGCAGATGACACTGCTTGCTAACGACCAAAATGGAACTGACAGATGAAAGCTCAAATACCTAGTGAAGATGAAACAGTCATATGGTTTTTAAGATGGTTTTCTACATCCCCATAATCACTCCTTTGGGATTTAAATCCACTGTAAGAATTGGTATACGAAATGTTTGTACTGTCCTCAAACTTTTTGGTCAATGAGTCTGTCTGACCTCAAAAGTCAAGTCAAACAGCCCCTGAGTGACATTTACTGCCTGATACAGACTGCTCGACCCTTCTTAAGAAGTCTCACAACACAGATTCAAGCCATCAGCAGTATGGTCTGGGAATGCCATCACAATAACAAAACAAACTCTCATGAGGTTTCATAAACTACCAAGATTTTAATTCAGAATTTTTGTAGTTCACCTGGCTAAGAATCCACTGATTTGTTAGGTCACGACGCTATGAGAAATGAGGAAAAAAAGTTCTGTTTCATGGTCTCAGTCCTACGAAGGCCCACCTCTAAACTTTCAGGGCTTGGGGCGAAAGTACAAACGGAAACCCATATACCACTTCTACATATTTAAGTATAAATCATACGAACAGGCTATTAAAAAATAAAGTGTATTATATTCTCTTGCCTTAACAAATATATTTTCTTCATTACTCCCTGGAAGACTAGGATCAAATTTGGAATTCTCACCCTCCTTGGGAGTTCTGTGCCAGAATGGGGTGCACTGCAAAAGGTGGTCCTCGGGGCGCCTGGGTGGTTCAGTGGGTTAAAGCCTCTGCCTTCGGCTCAGGTCATGATCCCAGGGTCCTGGGATCGAGCCCCACATCGAGCTTTCTGCTCAGCAGGGAGCCTGCTTCCTCCTCTCTCTCTGCCTGCCCCTCTGCCTACTTGTGATCTCTGTCTGTCAAATAAATAAATAAAATCTTAAAAAAAAAAAAAAGATTAAAAAAAAAGTGGTCTTCTTTCCCGCTCTCCTCCCACCTCTGGCTCTCACAGCTCAAGAGGCTCTGCATGGGAGTGTGGCCTCACAGGCTGCCCTTCCCCCACTACAACTACTTCTTGGCCCTAGGCACATGGACATTACATTGTTGCCAAGGTTTGCACTCTGGAGGAAGATGAGGGAAGAAGCCCACAAAAGCCTGGGAAGTAAGCCTGGGGTTGTCTGGGCAGGAGATTCCAGGGGTCCCAAGCATCCACAATGTGGTCCAGAACTGGAGAGGTGGGGTGGTGGGGGAGATGGGCCCAGGTGGACACATCTCTTTAATTCCATGGAATCCTCACTCTACTAGGGGAATGGCTGCAAGGAGACCAGAGTGGGACCCTGTAGAGCGCTAGGACCAAGGACAGAGGCCCTCTTTCCTCCCCAAGTCAAAGGGCAGAACTCCTTGAAATTTTGCCAGTAACTTGTGAACTCAAGACAAATGAATTTACCTCTCTTAGGCCTGTCTCTGGCAGGCAACCTTTAGGGAGGTTTTCTGAAATTTGGGGAGAAGGACCCCAGTAAACCTTATCTGAAATACGTATCAGCCCTCCAGCTACAGATGACAAAGCCAGAGGCGGGCACATGGCTCAGGCCACACCAACCAGATTCTTTCTCCTGGGAACTAGGAATTTGAAAGCTAGAAACAGAGACACATTGATGACCTGAAGGGCTCTTTAGAGAAAAACTAAATTCTGACCGTCTCCAAGTCTCCCCAGCTGGCTTGGTCTTTATCCTTCTTGAGTCATAGTGGCTGTTCAATGCTTCTTGTGCTACCGCACCCTGCCTCCTATTAATGTCCCATTTTTCTG